GGAGAGTTTTAAGGGGAAAGGTGGGGCACTGAAATCAGTTAATTGGAAGGGCTAAGAGGCCAGACAGTACTTCAGGTGGGAATGCCAAGGGCTCTAACTACAATTGGTAGTGTTTGGGTAGAGAACAGTGGGCCAAATTGAAAGAGATTTAGGAGGCAAAATCAACAGCCCTTGGTGATAGACTTAATGGGTTCTGTGTGTAAGATGTTAAGAGTGACCCAAACCCTAGCTAGTTTGGCTCTGTGGATAGAGCATCAGCCTGAGGACTGAAGGGTCCTGGGTTCGATTTAATCAGGGGCACATGCCCGGGTTGTGAGTTTGATCCCAGTGTGGGGCATGCAGGAGGCAGCTGATCGATCAATGATTCTCTCTCATAATTGATGTTTCTATCTCTCTCTACCTCTCCCTTCCTATCTCTGAAATCAATATATATATATATATATATATATATATATATATAATTTTTTTTTTAAAGAGTGATCCTAAGTTTCTGGCTAGTATTCATGAGATTTGGGGACCGGGAGACAGCACCAGGTTCAGAGGGATAAGATGAGGAAATGGTTAGGCTTTCTGTTTAAATATCTTACACTCTTACTTTCATTTTACATCACAATAAAGATTTGTGGAGAGCAGATTTAGCCCAGAGGGATAGAAGGGATTTGATGTTCTAATGGAAATAAATGAGAAAATAGATTGTTACATGGGCATTTTATTACTGACTTAGCTTGGAGGCATTTATTTTCTATAGGATTTTGTCTTTGTAAGATCCAACTTCCTACATCTTCGTTTTTTGGCTCCATGCTCTGTGTTTGTGTGTGTGTGTGTGTGTGTGTGTGTGTGTTTCAGAATATATCCTTTTCAACAATAAAAACATATATAGATATGGTTCTGTTACTTCTTAGATGAATGATCTTGGGGAAAATTATGGGCATGTAAAAGTACTTAGACAGTTGGGATGTTTTCATTCAAACCATAGATTGAAATATTTAAAAATACTTCAGTTATCAAAATGTATTCCTGCTATTTGGATGAACAAATAAAGAATTCCTCTCAATGAAAAGCCTCCTCAGAGTAATTAGATAATGAATTGTTGAGTACAACCTTTGCATTGGTTTAATCCATGAATAGTAGAATAAAATAAAATCAATATCTTTTTCTGTTCTGTTTTAAAATGCCTGTTGGATATTTCAAATTATACAGCAAAATATTTAAAAAAATGATTCCTCCTACTTCCTTAAACAGTGTATGATCAGTTTAGAGAATTCACTGTTCAGAAGCAATAATCAAATCAAGTTATATAAGTGTATTTTAAATAACAATAAATTTTACCATTGTTAATACTGATTAGTTTGTCAACATCTTAAGAAAGGACAATTTATTCTGGGAATAAACCAAGAATTCAGGAGCTTCACACAGTCAGTGACAGGAGTGAGTTTTGGTTATAACTCTCTGTGTCCAGTATGGTTGTTTAGTCATTGAGGCATGATTTTTATAGGTGGAGAGCTTGAGAAATATTATAGCCCCTCCAGATATTGTTTTATACCCTTTGACCCAGTTATATCACTTACAGAATTTACTTTATGGAAATAAAGATGGAGATGTTGAAGTATGTTCATTGGTAGACTGGTTAAAGAACCATCCACTATAGACCATGGTTTTAAAAATTATTTAATGACTGATAAATATATCTTATACAATATTAAGTGAAATAAAAGCAACATGTAACACAATATACAATAATACTATTCCAATTTGAGAAAAATTTATTGGAAGAAGATATACCAAAATGTTAACAAGGGTTATATAAATAGTTTTTTAAAATTTTTTCTTCATACTCCTTTTATACTCTTACTAGAAACCTGATGCACGAAATTTGTGCAAGAGTAGGCCTTCCTTCCCCAGGCTACCGGCACTGGCTTCCCTCTGGCACCCAGGACCTGGGCTTCCCTTGCAGCCCGGGCTTCGTCCAGAAGGTGGTTCAGAAGGATGCCCGGTCTAATTAGCATATTATGTTTTTATTATTATAGATACTTCTTATACTTCATATACCCTTCACATTATTTTATATTTTCTTTAATGAGTTTGTATATCCTATGTAATAAAAGCCTAATATGCAAATCGACTGAATGGTGGAATGACAGGTCGCTATGACACGCAATGACCACCAGGGGGCAGACAGTCAGTGCAGGAGCTGCCCCCAGCCTGCAGGCTCCAGGCAGGCCAAGGTGGGTGCCAGCAGGGTCCCCATGATTGCCCTGCCAGTTGCCCCGCAGAAGGAGGTGACCAGCGGTGGCAGCGGGGGGTGGGGCTGGCTGGCAAGTGGGCAGTGGTGGCGGGGGCTGGTGAGTGGGTGGTGCCAGGCCAGCCAAGGCGGGTATCAGCGGGGGCCCCTCTATCGCCCTGCCGGTTGCCCCACAGATCAGCCCTAATTGCCAGCCAGGCCTAGGGACCCTACCCATGCACGAATTTCGTGCCCGGGCCTCTAGTTTTTCATAAGCAGTTTGAATCAAAGTGAAATATTAAATTCTTTCCAACATCTTTTGCTGTTAATTACATGTGTTTTTCATCAAACATTGAATTGATTTTATGTAGAAAGCTATCTATTTGGCTTCAATCTTTAAGTGAATATAGAAACCATAATGTGTGTGTGTGTGTGTGTGTGTGTGTGTGTGTTGAGAGAGAGGATTTCCATGGTACTGAAAGTATAAATAAAATAATATTATACTTTATTTGACCCCCCTTCTTAAATTTTTTTTAAAATATATTTTTATTGATTTCAGAGAGGAAGGGAGAGAGAGACAGAAACATCAATGATGAGAGAGAATCATTGATCAGCTGCCTTCTGTACACCCTCATTGGGGATTGAGCCTGCAACCCAGGTATGTGCCCTTGACTGGAATCAAACTCAGGACCCTTCAGTTCACAGGCCAATGCCCCATCCACTGAGCCAAACCGTCCAGGATGACCCCTCCCCCCTTTTGCACAACTGTTTTATACAGTAAATTCTATGTATGAGACGCCAGGGGAAAAAACTAATGAATTTCTTTATTTGAGATGGTATAAATGTGCTAGTTTTGAAATTGAATTTGTAGTCGTAGCAGTGGACAATTTTGAACCAAGCAAGACCTTTTATAAAATCAGGTAAGGTTTTAACACTTAGGATGAAATTTTTTTTTAATATATTTTATTGATTTTTTACAGAGAGGAAGGGAGAGAGATAGAGAGTTAGAAACATCGATGAGAGAGAAACATCGATCAGCTGCCTCCTGCACATCTCCTACTGGGGATATGCCCGCAACCCAGGTACATGCCCTTGACCGGAATCGAACATGGGACCTTTCAGTCCGCAGGCCGACGCTCTATCCACTGAGCCAAACCGGTTTCGGCATAGGATGAAATTTTAAAAATGCATGTAGGACTCTGAGTTTAGAGTGCAATATAGGATGAAACACTACCTGGAAACTCTTGAGGTATGAGCAGTCTCACTCTTTTCCTGGACACATACCATGCTGCCCGTTAGTTTGTGCTGTGAGCAGTTTCCTAATAGGGTTTGTTCTTTCCCTTGTGTCAAAGGTAAGTTGCTAGCTAGAGCCATTTGAAAAGGAACAACATAAGAAACTGTATTAAGAGAAAGTAGCCTACCTAGAAGAGTTACCTGCTACATATATTAATATTCTAGTCCATCTTTTCCTACATTATGTTGACTTTGCAGTTTATTCCTTCTCAGTAGTGAAATTTACAGTATCAGAAAATACCTGTTCCTTTACAATTCTGTTCCTCCATTAAAAACAAAAACACAATACCCTTAAGAATCTTTTTCCTCAGTAGCCTATAGCACTTTCAGATAATTTTCTCCCTATAAGACAAATATGAAAGCTGGTATTTTCTTTTTTCAGTGGGCAAATGAGAAATAGAAAGGTTGATTTACACACATAGTTACAACTCAGGGTTTGTCTTTCAGCATAATAATTAAAATGGTCACTTCCCCTCCCCCCTTTTCATAATTCCCCTTGCTTTTGTAAGAAACTTAGGCAAAAAGCACAAATTTTTAATGTTAATGATTTGTACCCTATTGGTTATTTCCTTGTATTGTGTTCTGTTTTGAAACCTTTGTTTCGATGCAGGGACAATTTTTATTAAAAGATTTTGTCCTATAGATTTGAAAGTGTCCTCAGAGTAAAAGGCAGGCCTGAGTCATTCAGAAAACCTTTCTATATGACATGTTTGCTTTGAGGACTCTATATTTTATTTTATCAAAAGCTTTTTATAGACCAGAATTAGACATGAGTTATTTAGCCTAGTAGTACTTAATTTTTAGCATTTCCATATCCTGTCCAGTCCTTATATTCTTCTCTTCCAAACGAGAGAGAGAGAGAGAAAAAAAAAATATGCAACATTTCAGTTTAAAGTAGGGTTCTGCTTACAAACTACTTCTGTTAGGTCAGGAGAACTAAATATAGTCGAGGGGTGGGGGTGTTTGGTGGCAAATATTTTCCCACTTTGGATTTGAAATGACCCATAGGAAAAAGCTGATGAGCAACTGGATAGGTTCATTAGGAAAAAGTATGTGAATGAGGAGGTTTGGAGGAGGCATTCTACTTCCAGTAACTGCCAAGTATTGTAGAAGCCTTGTCTCTGATCTTAGAAGCCCAATTAAAATGTGTCCCTGAGTTCCAGAGGGCAGTACAGTCGGTAGTCTATTGTCAGTCATCCTGGCACTTTTAACATTGACATTTCTGGTTCATCCGTGTTCTCTCACTGTCTCTGGTTTTTGCCCCATCCCTCACTTCCCCTCTCCTTTTCCGTTCCTGACAATGTCTGCAGGGTGGTAAGAAAGAATTTTGGAACCAAGAAGTGAGGGACTGGGATGAGGAGGATCTATTTTTTACTCTCTGAGTTCTTGCTACTTTGTCCCAGAATATACCTACCCCCGGGCAATTGGGTTTCCCAGTTTGAAAAACAGGAGAATGACTTTTCTTTCTGCCTCTTTTCCGTTGCAGGAAACTCATGAAATTGTGGCAATCAAGAAATTCAAGGATAGTGAAGGTATATATCTTTTTCTCTCTCTCTCTCTCTCTCTCTCTCTCTCTCTCTCTCTCTCTCTCTCTCTCTCTCTCTCATCTTTGATTTCTCTGAATAGAATGTGGAAGCGATGGGATTGAGCTGATTAGACTCTATTCCTGAAATTACAAAATCTCAATCTTAGAAACTGAATATAGCTTATTTATTTATTATCATGCTTTGCTTTGAAAATTTTAGTTTCTTCTGTGTAAATTTTTTCAAATCTCATGATATTAGAAAACATGTATTTTAAGGTACGGTCAATGTTGGAAAACTTGCTTCATGTGGTGGGTGGAAGGAATGCTATTTACGTAGTTTCCAAATATAAGAAAAATGAGAAAATGGATTTGAAGTAAATATTTCTGTGGGTTCACACAAGTACTGAGCACTGGGTGAAAGGCTTTAGTATTCAGTACTAGGATCTCTGGTTCCTAGTCAGTTAGAAATACAAGAATAAGTGATATGTAGATGGTATCAGGGGAATGATTTTATAAAAGTTATTGGGTGAAAAAAAGTTTTCAAGGGTAAATACTGTACTTGGAGGACTTGATCACATGTCCAGACCATTTTAAATAGAGACCATTTTGAATAGAATATTAAAATTATCCCATGCTGGGTGAGAAAGGTTAAAATAAAATAAAACTTTTTAAAAAAGTAATGTACACAAAAAGGTAATGTATCAAAAAATAAATAAATAAAGCATTTCAGTAGTTTGTTGCGTTTTGAATGTAGACTATTGGCCATTTAAAGATAGCCAAGTAGAAAAACTGACCATGAAGACACACATGATGTCTGAGAAGTTCTAGGCAGCATTTTTCTAATTTTCTTTGGACAGAGACCCACAGTAGAAATGTTTTTTACACCCCAATCCAATATCAGCATACATAATGTCCTATATATAACCAAAAGTGTCACAAAACTGCTTTATTTTACTAATGTGAGGTTCTCCGTTTTCTGTTCTTTCGTGCTCATATGAATTCATGTAAATGCCTATTGTGACATCAAATACATTCATTTCCCTGCTAATGAGTCACAACCTGCCATTTGAAAAATTGCACTCCAGGCATGAGAGTCACTGGCATAGCATCAACTTTCATATCTAATTAGAAGTATGACAATAACAGTCACAACCTACCTTCATCAGCTCACATTGAGTGATTACTGTAAGACAGCAGCCTCTATATTTGTGAACGGTTTCATCACCCTTACCTTAGAGACTTAGCAAACATTAAGTAACTAAAAGGGCTCACTGACAAAGTCCTATGGTGTAGAGTCAGTGGGATATGATGTAACCTGACTCTGATGTGCTAGTTATATGGAGCACACGCATACCAGCCTGGAACTTGAGCAGCCATTGTCCCAGCAGCCTTAAAGAGAAGGCAATAAAATAATGCTTTTAGCTATTCATAAGAAAAGAAAAAGAAACTGCTTCAAATGATGTACCTGTAGTCTAACAGGAAGCAATAGCTTTGGCCAACTCACTCTGAGACCATTAGAAATGAGTTCTTTGAGTTGTAGCTTTGGGCTAACCACAGGTGGCCAAGAGACAAATGGTGATCTACTAAAAAGAGTGGTTGCAGCAGTAGATCAAGCATAACCTTCGCATAAGTGTAAATACTTCTGGCTGTGCATTCATCTTGTAAGGCACATCGTCAAGCATCAGTTACCACCAAAAATAATATTTGTCATCAAATTTTTGAAAAGCAGTACAATCTAGGACATGTATGTCATTGCTTTTTTTTTAAAAAAAAAACTAAGTACCATTTTCTTTTCAACCTGTATCCTCTGCATACCAATTCTTAAGACCTGTTTATAAATAGCAGTTAAATAGAGTAGAAAGCAGTCAGTGCTTGAATGAATTTGTATAATTTTGAGACAAGGCTGTTTTTAGCTGTGGTGTCCTGGGAATGCATGAATAGTGTAGACATTATAGGAAGCATTTGATCAGCCCTTATTTCACTGAGCTGACAAAACATGAATCCAACCCTGCCTTCAGCTCTGTGAGGTCATTATCAGTTACCATACCTTAGGCATGCAGCCTTATCACCCATTGTTGGGAGCATCCCCGAAAGGAGTTACACATATTGTCTTTCCACAATGCCAGGTTTATTAGGGGAGACTGCCCCAATAAGCCAATAGAGTCACATGCAGGTTACACACAGAGAGGGGAGGCTTACTTGATAGAAGCGAGCAGACCAAGTGTCCAGAGCAAAGTCCTAATCACTGGCAGTGTCTGCAGGTAGAGAGATGGGCAGGGGCCTTAAGCCAGGTGGCTACAGTGGCAGCACACGCCCGGTGGTGTGAAGTCCGGCAGGGCTCTGACTGTGACCCATGGTATGGCCAAGCTCAAGCATTGAGTGGTGGGAGCTCTGAGTTCTCATTGCCCATGTGGATAGAGGTCCCATTCATATAGGTGTCCAGATGGAGTCCTTATCCAAGTGTTCAGACTTGTGGTTTTGGGCCTTCTGGGCCTTATGAAGGGTATTCTCATTACACCCTACTACCTCAGCCTTGACATAGCACTTGACATAACTGTCATGGCTGACTCCATATTGGATTGTCAGAGGGGTCCAGAAAGTCTGCTCTGCTCTTGCTCTATATACCATCCATTTTGCAGATGGACACCTTTGTAGGTATACCTATACATACTTCTAGAGGGATACTTCCTAAACATTTCTATGATAGAATCTGAAGACATATACAATTATTTATAACTTTTTAGTTCAGTCCTATTTTAGGCACATTTTCCTACTATTTCCAGTTCTCCCTAGTGTAGATCTCATACTCTTTTTAAAATAGAGCATTCTAATTATTTTTCTATTGGTTTTAGAGAAAGGAAGGGGGAAGGACAGAGAGATAGAAACATTAATTGGCTGCCGATGGAGCCCACAACCTGGGCGTGTGCCCTGACCAGGAATCAAACTGTGACCTCCTGGTACATGAGCCAACGCTCAACCACTGAGTCACACCGGCTGGACTCATGCTCTCTTTTCCATCTTTATGCTTTTCCTCTTGCCAGAGTAGTATCTTGCTTAATGGAATGTAGTGGAATGTGTGTTGTGAACAACATTTTTGGAGTGTGAAGTGTACATAGTCTAGTACAGGTGAGGCTGTCTATTCAACCCCTCTGTAAACCACTTTATTCTGAAACAGTTTATCATCTTAAATTTTATTAAGACCAATTATAATAAAAATAGAGTTTCATAATATTACCTTTATTGTCATATAGCTCTCAGTAATCTTTTATTAGTTACTCAAAATATTCTCCTGATATTATGATAGTGTCTTTTCCAAATCCAATATTAAATCTTTGTGAAGATAATGAAATAACCCTGTGAAAGTCTTGTTAAGCCATAATTGTATCTGAACTTGATTTGACCTACATTCAAGTTAATCAAGTATTCTCATGCTGATGATATCAAGGGATATTTTATGAGAGCATATATTATTACCTTCTGTTAAACTTCAAAAGATTATGACTATGGCCCTGGCCAGATGGCTCAGTTGGTTGGAACATCATCCCATACACCAAAAGGTTGTGGGTTCAATTCCTGGCCAGGGTACACACCTGGGTTTAGGGTTTGATCCCCAGTAGGGTACGTACAGGAGGCAGCTGATTGATGCTTCTCTCTTACATCAATGTTTCTCTCTCCCCCTCCTCTCTCTTTAAAATCACTAAAAACATATCCTTGAATGAGGATTAAAGATAAAAGGATTATGACCGTACTTCTTGTTAAATATCTGTATATCCACAAATTTGTATAAAATCTTTCAAAACTACATTTTAAGATACTCCACTATTTATTTCAGTAAGTCCTTATTATCCTGGGACAGTAGATCATGATGTAAAATGGGAAGCAAAATGTCATAGTAAATAAAAGGTTAGATTATGAAAAAGAAGCTAAAATCACAAAAATGTTTACTTTATCTTATAGTTAACACAATTAAGGTTATAATAGCAACAATGTGCTATTTCTTAGAAGAAAGGATCAAGTGTTGTTCTCTTTTAGGAAAGGGGTAATTTTTACAGCAAAGTTGAATGGTAGATCAATGATAGACTTTCTCAGTTTTCTCTTCATTTTTGTATGTTCTCATCCTTCTGTCATCATCCTTATCAGTTTATCAGTTTTTTATCCTGATATACCTCTATTATATCATTTATCAGTTATCTTTGCCTATGATTTCTCCTGAAAGGCTTTGACATGCTGGGTGGGGGTCAAAAACTCCTATTAAAAGGGAGGAATGGCCAGGCCATATGGATCAGTGGTTGAGTGTCAACCTATGAACCAGGAGGTCATGGTTTGATTCCTGGTCAGGGTACATGCCCAGGTTGCTGGCTCAATCCCCAATGTGGGGCGTGCAGGAGGTAGCCACTCAATGATTTTCTTTCTCCTTGGTGTTTCTCTCTCTCTCCCTGTCTCCCTTCCTCTCTGAAATCAATAAAACTGTATTTAAAAAGAAAAAATGGGAGGAATATTTGAGTGATGGCATTTTTATCTGAGATCACTTCATTAGTTAATATTTTCTTGTTTTGATGATGTTTGCTTCTTTATACATCATCATAAATGTGGAGTCTCAGATAATGAATTCTTAATAATATCCTGAATGATAGTATTAGAAATTTGTCTGTTAATGTACGTTTCCACAGAGAAACATTAAGTTATAAACACTTAACCAACCAGAATTCTCTATAGAATTTAGTTCTGCTCAGTATTTGGATTTTCTGAGAAGAGAAAAAATGACCACAGACCAAAAAGATACTAGAGATTATTTAGTTAGCAAGGGGACTGACTCTCAGGGAGCTGTGTTGCAGTCTTCAATTCAGATGGAATTTAGGTTGTGTCTCTGCTCTTATGCCAAATAAAATTGCTCACATTCATATCCTGCTGCTGCTTTTGTTTTCTGTAGATAAGTATTTTTCTCTTGGAATGGACATATTTATTCTTCTTAATCATGAGAAAATGCTTAATTGATCATCCATTTTT